ACTGCAGGCAAAACCCTGAATCGCTTGTCCTGTGTCTCTTACAGTGTTCCATCTATATTGCGTAGCAATAGATTTCGCAGAGATGCAAGAGCCTTAGAGGAGGATGAGGAAATGTGGTTCAATGAAGATGAAGAGGAAGAAGGTGAAGCTGTTGTACCTCCAGTTGAGAAGTCAAAGCAGGAGGATGATTTTCCAGATAGCTATGAAAAATTTATGGAAAATAAAAAAGGTATTTATTCAGTGTCAGCTTGTCAGCACTGAACTGCTCTATGGCAGATAAGTGGAGTTATCATGTGAACAAACCGGTTGCTTTTGGTCTCTATCGTAAGCAGGAGGAAGGGTACTCCATGTAATTCAGTAATGAGTTACTAACATGTCTTTACAAGCTAGTTTAGGATTAAAATAATGAGTGAAATTACTCCAAGTGTGCATCTAGTTGCAAATGACATTCAAAAGCAAAACTTTATATGTATTTGTGTGCACTGAGTGAGCACCTGTGCCGTTATCTCTATGAATGCTGGCATGTTTTGCATGAGGTCAGGAGGGGAGCTGGTGATTTAAACTGAATTAACATTTTAAAAAGGCAGCTTTTGCCCTGTGATTATGCTGTGATGTGGATTGTACTCTGTGGTGTACAGACAATGCTTAAGTATGAAATATTTTGTCCCTCAGCTAAGGAGAGTGAAGACAAAGAGAATCTTCCAAAAAGGACTTCAGCCGGGGGATTCAAATTCACTTTTTCCCACTCAGCCAGTGCAGCCAATGGTGCAAACGGTGCAAACAGTAAATCTGTGGCAGCTCAGACATCACCAGCAAGCTCCAACGGTTCCTCTTCCAAGAACGCAACCCTGACCGCAGCGGTGACAGCCACCAAGGTGGGAGAACTTGTACAAAAGCCACTGTCCTCACTTGGACAGCGAAGCGGTATTATGAGCCTTTACCAGTTGCAATGCGTTACGGTTAGCGTTAGTCTCTTGGTAGGGTGTCTTACATATAAATTCATGCAAAGCCCTGTCTAGTTAAACCCTTACTAGTTTTGGGGAAGGTTTAAGGAAGTATTAGGTGGGAGTGGAGTCTGTTGGTAACCTGGTGGGCACAGTTTAATCTCGCATCATCTGCCTAATTTAACTGCTCCCATGCCTTAGCTGTAACTGTGCAGGTGCTCCTCTATGTGATATACATAGGAGATTATTTTTTTCTGACTTATGCTCGTGTCCCCCCATCAGGGAATTAAGAAGTGTTTTTAACCAGATGAAATAATAATTTTGAGGCCAGATTCAGAGGAGCAAGGAAGTTCCAGTATTTTTTTTAACCTTGAAGTTCAAAAACATTCTCAAGACAAATGGGTCTTTGAATGAAAAGGGAATCATGAGGAAACCTTCTGCAGGCTTGTGTGTCCTGGACCAGTTGGCTGCGGACTATGTAGCAAAATTCCACATTCCTGGGTAATTTTTCCAGTGTGATATTTTCTTTTTTTTTTTTTTTTAAATTGGCAGGGAAGTTTAGTTGGCCTTGTGGATTATCCTGATGATGAAGATGATGATGAAGAGGAGGAGACATCTCCAAGGAAAAGACCTCGTCTGGGTTCATAAATTAAACCAAAACTTTGGAATGAAAACTTGTATTGTGGGGTTTCAAATGCTGCAACTGTTTTAAGAGCTAAAAAGAATCTGATTCAGAAAGCATTCTCCCATAAGTATGTAAGATAATACAAGGAGTAGCAAAAGAAACTCAGTGTACCAGCTAGAAAGGGTTAGTTCTGTAAACACAAAGCTTCCAAGGAACTTAATGTCTTTCTAGTAAATAAGGAGTCTGCCATTCAGGCTGTCAAAAAAATTAAAAATTAAAAAAAAAAAAGTGGGTTAGTTCACAGAACATGGATGATGGCTTCTCAGCAAGGAAAGTCTCAGGTGTTGGGAGGGCAGGGGGAGGGAGAGGTATGGTAAACACTTATTTTTTAAAATATTGCAGGGTTTCCCCAGTGTTTAACAGAACTAGGGAAAAAAAAATTCAAGCTTAAATTTTGAACCCAGTAATCTTAATTTTGTGATGGTGCTGTCAGTTGTGTTCTTTTAGCAACGCCTCTTTTGGGAAAACTAACTCTGTTTGCATAAGAACAATCCAGATTTTGGGACCATTTATTAACCATTAAATCGCATTTCTCATGGTTGGAGGGAGGGACACTGCAGTTACAGTGCATGTTGAGTTGTTTAAAACAGTTAAAAATTAGTTTTTATTTGTTTTTCAAGAGGAGAAAATGGAAGCAGGATTCAAAAAGGATGGTTTTGCTTGGCTTTTTTTTTTTATTAGACATCCAGTACTATGTATGCCAAGGAATGATCGCTTCCAAAATATCTCCAGGAGCTGCTTGTGTCACAGTGGTGCTTTACGCAGCACACCTGAACAGCTGTCAGCTTCGCACTGGGGAAGATACGGAATTTGAATCGCTTTCTGCGTTGTTTAGCAAGCTGTCTCTTCTCGGGAGCAGCAAGCTATTCTCCTGTTTGCGTGTTTAAATTGTGTGACCGAGGTGGTAATAAGAAACACTAAAAGGTTTTTCATAGCGATGAATTTAGCAGCGTTTTAACACCAAAGTCACTTTGGACCAAGATGGAATTATTTTTAACAGAACACCGGTCTCTGAGGCAGAATCAACAAGCAGCACCTGAATCTGGGTGTAATACAAAAGCTGCTTTTTAAAAAAATAAAAGCACATTCCACATAGTAGGTAAGCAAACTGCAACAAAAATAGGTGAGCTGATAGAGGCAAACAGTCCAGGTTTCATTTTCAAGAGCAGCAAGCGAACTGTAAATATTTTAATGTTAGTTTGCCCTTATGTGATCTGAGATCGTGAGGAAGCGAGAGGAAATTTTCCAATGACAATTAATGTGTCAGGAATGTTAAAATAGGAAGCCAGCTGCAATCCACCACATAGATCACTCTTGTAATACGTGTTATGGGTCCATTTCTCCTGAAATAGTTTAAACTGAAGCAGTTTCTCTGTTTTGGAGATTTTTGTAGTTAATTTTAATTTTAGCTATTGTTTGGAAAAAGATGGGCTGTCTGTGTAGATATGAAGTATAGTTTTTTCCATAAAAGAAGTTTATTTTGTATTAAAAATACCACTGTACTTGTTTTACACCATTTGTATACATGTGGTGATATTAATGCTGAACTGTAAACTTCAGGAATTAAAATGTGACCCTGTAATTCCATAATTATTGCTTTTGTTTGGTTTGTTGTACATGGTAAATTAACTCAGAATTTTAAATGTGGCCATTTTAGAATATTTTTTCAGATTAGTTATCCACACAGTTTTAAAAGTAACTGTACCACTAGATGAAATCCCAAAGGGACCATGTGAGTTCTTACTGACGTGTAAGCTAGGCACGAGCTTTCTCATGGATGACAGTTCCTGTGTGCAGACCTGGGGACGATGGTCTTGCCCTTCACAGGGTCCAGGCAACCAAGAATGGGACTCCTTATTTTTCACCTGTGCAATGAAATGCTGTCAGCTCCGAACACAAAGGATCCAAGGAAACATTAGCTGGTAATACTTAGCTGCAGTCTCATCGCCATGTGCTCGCTCTCCTGCTGACGATAATCTGGTTTTCTTCCTGATGAATCTTTTCTCTCCATCAGTAACGATGATTAACTTCCTCGAGCGCTATACATGCTACTCAAGCAGCAGAGTTACGCAGTATGAGGCTGAAAGATTGCATCACCTGGTCTGTGGACCCGAGTTGTCCCAAGTCTCTTTAACAGCTACCCAAAACAAGTTCTCTCAGGGTCTCTGACTGAAGCATGTTAGTCCTTCCTCAGTGTTCTCCACCACCCCAGCTCTTCACTGAAGTACTATCAGGAGCTTTAAAAATACATTCAGACCAATATGAGGGTGTTTTGTTTTTTTTTACAGCAAAAACAAGAATGTAATGAATTTTTATAGATACTAGAAAAAGACTCTGTAAAGTGGCATTAGATGTCCCCAAAACAAAACAAATCCCTGTAGCAAGTGACATGTGGCACTTTTGTCTTGGGCTGTTGCCCCCCAGCTGCTGTTTCCCAGTCTGACCTGGTGGGCACTGCTTGGGTTCTGCCTTCGGCAGCCGTGTTCCCATGCCTGGGGTACTTCCACAGAACATCTGCCAACATGTATCAGTTATAAATGCTATTTTAATAAAAAGTTACATGAAACTTGAATGGGTTGGGTTGTTTCTTTTAATGCGAGTTACTGTTGCAGTCAGCTATGTAATGACATCCTGTGAGCAACTTTTACTGCTGTCAAAGCCAAACCAGTAAACAAGATTTGAAAATATTTCTACTTTGAAACTGAATTGCTCATGACAGCCCTAGCTTTTACTTTGCAACTGTGAAGCAATTATTTTTACTTAAAGTTGCATTTATAGCAAAATTGGACCTAAGGGCTGGTAAACTGCCTCAAAAATATGTGAAACTACATCATCCAGAGTTAACATGTAAATGTCTTGACTCCAAGCTGCCTTGTCTTTCTAAAAAATAAGAGGGGCAGAGTTGCACTTCTTGTGAAATTACTTTATTACATTGCACAGCTGAAAACCAGTAATTTGTTTATAATAGTCTAATAAAAGGAACACAGTTCTATAATTTTAAAAATAAGTTACAGTTTCTAACTCATTCAGAACTGTTCCCATAGGAATTATTTTAACAGAGCTCAATATCTGCTTTTGTTCTATACAATATCAAGTGGCCGAGGCCCGTAGTTCAAAACATCTGTATGCTGGCCTCACCGTGAGCATGGTCCAGTGAGAGTCAGTGATTTTCCAGCATTCTGGAAAATAAGTGGGTTTAGTGTACATCAGTGTAATTTTGAATATTTATATATAAAGCACTGAGTTGCTTGTCTGATAGTTCTATAAAACTAAGTGTAATATTGTAAAATAAATCCATTAACTTATTATTTATGTAAGTTATTCTAGAAAACATGCTTATGTTCTTGGGTTCTGCAATTAGCTTGTTAAAATTACCGCTTATTAATAACTTCTTCTTTTAGTTTTTCTGCAAGCATTTTCCTCTTCTGTAGTAATCTTTGCTTCTCTTCTGACATCTCCTAAAAACAAAGTGAAAAACACTGCAATAAACTGCATGGCGTTCCTGGTGGGCACCCTGACTCCTACCGCTTCAGTATTATTATTCAATTTCTGGAGAAGTGGATTCCAGGATGCAGAGAACTGGCTCTTTGCCTCAATTTGCCTTTTTTTCCACTGCACTGTACCAATCTTTTTATGAGGACTACCCTCAAATTCAACAGGTGCTGCTTAGTAGTTTTGGAAGTTCCCCAGTCAACAGTATTTTGGGCACATTCTGAGCATAATAAAATGCTCAACAACTCTGAAAAATACCTGGCAAGAGAAGGTCTGTGGTCTTAAGGGGGTGCTATGTAAAGAGTAACCTCTTTTTTTTAAAAAAAAAAACATATCAGTTATCACATTGTTTTGTGTGGGTTTTAAGGTCTTCTACTAGTTTCCTCACTCATGTTGAAAGTTGTCAAGCATTTCTTTTCAAATAAATGTAGCTCAGACCTATTTGTGCATTAAGTCACATACAACAATGATTAACAGAAAAAAGTTTGGTTTTCATCCTGATAAAGCCCTCTGTGGTGGTAGGACTTTATCCTGTCATAGGCTTCTGGTTTTTTATTCTTTCCCTGATAGGATTTACTCCTTTTTTTCCCAAACTAGATTTTCTGTCATCCCCGTGGTGCACAGATTTTTGTGGGTTTTTGCACATGTTTTAAGTCACAGAATGTATCGGTTAGTTCACCATCTTCATGCATGTCTGAACAGAGAACAGCCTTCAGACAAAAAAAAAAAAGACCTTGAAGAATGGGCTAACTGCCAGGTGTACCTCTTCCAATAATGCCCCATTCCTGTTCTGTCCTGTGCTTCCATCCCTCCCACAGACTTCTTTTTTCTATTGGAGGCAACTGGATAGATGACAGCAGCATCCATCCTTCAGAGTGCCCTGTCTTTCTAAACTGTATCATTGTGTTGCTTCTATTCCAGCAGCTGTTGGATAGATATGATTTCTTCATTTGAAATAGGCACAAAGCTCTCAGAAGAGATCAAAAGAACAGAGCAAATTTGTTACCTCTGTAAAGCAAGACTTTGCAAAAGAAAAGGTTTTTCCCATTACAGCTGGGAGAAAAAAAATCCCGGGGATTTAAGGCAGCCCAAACAGTGGGTCACAGATTAGGAGAAAAACAGCATTTTAGCTGTTCATAAACTTAATAATGAGGATTTGATGATCCTGAAGCTTCATAATGTGAACTTACTTAACCACTGAAACTTCTAACCTGTAGGCTTCTGCAAAAACAGTAACTTGAAAACACTTCCTCTCTACTTCCCCCACTTGCTGCTTTTATCCAGCTACAATATTCAGCAACAACATTTACATCTTCACTGAAACAATCTGTTTTTTATAAAGTGGTCAGGATGGTTAAAATCCGTCACCTCTTTAGGAGATGATTCATCTTCCTTCTGGTCAGTGTTCGTTGGTAACAGTACATTATTTCTTGACTCCTTCTTTGTAGCCATCAGCATATCTCGTTTTTTCTTTAGGTAGTCCTCTCGCTGCTTCAGCTGCTGTTCTTCGAGTTCTGATAAATTCTGGAATTTTTGAAATTTTGAAATTAATTTTTGGTACACACGTTATGTATTTGTGAGATAAAGGCATTTACATCATTTTTGACTCCAAAATTAATAGCTGAAGAAAAAAACCCAAGCTGAAGTTTCAAGCCAGAGCCGTCTACTAAGAAGTTATCACAGGACAAAGGCCAAGTGCTGAATTCTATTCTAAAACTAGAATGATGATCTGAACTTTATCCAAATTGAAACACTGAATACCATAAATTGCATGCTGGTATTTAAAAAAAAAAAAAAACAAAACCAAACCCACCTGACTACAATAATAGAAAAAATATATTTAAATGTAGTATTATCTTAAATATATATTCTAAATGTCATACCATCTTTTTGCATTCTAGTTCTATGTTTGGGGGGTTTGTTGTTTGCTCGCTTTAAACTTACAGGTCCTTTCATCCCAGCTTTTTGCGCTGAGTTTTCTGAACATTTTCCAGCTGACCTTTTCTTAATGTCTTCTTTCCGTTTGGTACAAGATGGCTGAGGTGAGCTGTCTGTTCCTTTTTGTAGTGGGCATACTGGTTTTAAGTCTTCCTTCCCAGATTTCCGAGATTCCTCTGAACAGCAATTTTACATAGAAAACAGTTAGAATAGAAATATATCAAATAAAAAAAAAAAAAAATCTGTGTTTCTTCCAATAGCCCGATCTCTCTTCTGATGAAATGGAAAACTTAAGGGGAAAAATGTGATTTATTTTTTTTTAATAAAACTTCTTTCAAAAACCATAGATATTGTATTTGCACTATGAAACCAGTTAAATATTGCTTTATTCATAAGTAGCTCTACTGCAATTAATTAAAAATTATCATCAAATGCTTGGAATGTAATTTCACATTCAGTATTCCAACAGACAATTCATACTGAGATTGTATTTTCAATTTCTGGCTTGGCGAGCTGAGCCAGTAAACAGCAGTTTATGAGGTGCACTTCAGCCAAGTGTCCTGGTTCAGCTTTCAGCTTCAGAGAAAGGAATCAGGAAATACTGTATTAAAGTGAACTTGTACGGGAGAGGGGGGAAGTGAAGCTCAAGACGCATGAAGCATTACTCTGACACAGCTCGGTTACTCCTCTTCAGAGCTTGCCTTGCGCCACTGTGAGGATATATTGGGAACCCACCAGATTTCTGACACTGGCAGGGCTCAGAGCCCTGAATAAGGTAAGCTGCTGCTTCTACTATATTTTTTTTAAAAAATAAACTTTTGACTGTTCAAAATATGCCTGAATGTATCCATCTAGATGCATGAATACCGATAGTGAAATAGGAACTTTACTGTGTTCAGTCAGTTTGAGTCTATCTAGAATATCCAAGTTGATACACATAACTGAATGTAGCTAATTATAATCCTACAGTGCTGGACCATGGATTTTTGCTGTAATGTTGAGAAATAATTTGCATAAGTACTAAGGTCTCCTTTGTCTCTTACCAGACCACAGTAAGAGATGGCAAAGCTAGCTCCACTGAAGCCAGTCCAAGATGAATACCACTTAATTGTTCTTTAAGTTAGAGCAAGTAATTTAGCTCTTCACCATCGCTGCTTTCTTTACTACAGAAAATTATGAAATACGTAATTGTGAAAAGGTAGGGAGAAAGGCAACGGAGAGGAAACGTTATTCAAAGTACGGAAAACAAACCAGGACAGAAATTTAAAACAAAGGTCAAGTTGAAGAATTTCACCAAAATATGTCCACTGGAAGCCTTGATGCTCCTAAGAATATCTTTTGGTGACAGATGAAAGTTCTCAGAAGCACTGAGAGAGGTCAAAGTTAAAACTGCTAGAAAAAAATCCTCATACTGTAGCTGTATGATTAAAAAGCAGATGGGAAAAAAAAAAAACCAAACATACACACACTGCATGCCAAATGCCTATGCCATAACCAACATGCTGATTAAGGAAAGCTACTTACCAGGAAGTACTTCTTTGAAATGTGTTGTGTGTGTGTAAGTTTACACTGTTGCTGTCCGTATCGCAAACTCTCAAGCTGAAGGTTTTTGTGTCTTAGCAGTACCTGTAGGATGTGATCATAGGACCCTCAGTGTCACTTAACCCACGAACCTGAAAAGATACTGAAGAGAAGGGAAGGAGGGTGGACAGTGAACGTACAAATAGACAGCCCATCTCAAAGAATCACAGTTACTAGTGTGTAACATTTTTTCTTCTTTGAGAACTTGTCTATATGTACATTCACATGGTGGGTGACTAAGCAACGCTCTTTTCTATGCAGACAATTACTTCAGAATATTCTGAAAATACAAGCAGCCAGGACCGCTCCAGCAGATACTGCATCCTTCTTATCTGCATGATACATGCAGCTTGGTGCAAACTCGAGTGCAACTTTGGATGCAGCTGCCCTGCAGGTATCCAGAAAGAGAAGTGTTCTCCGAGAATGCTGAAAAGGTCGCTTGCACTCCGAGGTGTTGAGCATGACCCTTACTATGAAATTCCCCCTTCTGATCTCTCCATAGCACAACAGGTTGGGTGGTCAAACTACAGGAGGAATGGTTTTTCAAGCTCTATTTTGTAAACTCTTTGTAAGGGGCTCACCAAAGTGAAATTAAGAAAATTAAGGCAACTACCATTAAATCTGAATTCACTATACAGCAGAAAACTTTTAAGGGGTCCACAAACTTAAACCTTGGGTCTCAAGGTGAAGGGGAAATATCAAAAGATAATAAAAACACTGCATCTGAAGGAAGAGAAATGTATGTCAGACTGTAGGGAATGGAAAACAAAGAAGTTTTTCCTTTTCCTGACTCTGAGAACTTGTTCATGCAAGGGCTGTGTTGCCCAGGCAGCCGATACTCCCTAGGGATGGGAATATTGTCGAGAAAGGTGAGCTGTCCCATTCCTCCTCAGTAACGCAACCCTACGAGTGAGAACACGGAGCCAGGATCTGAGAACAGGTCTTGTGGGCTGTGAGGGTCACAGACTGACCGAGGTGAGAGAAGAGCAGCTCTTCTGCCAGGGGGGCACAAACTGTTAGTGAAAAGTTCTTGCTGTTTCCATTACCAGAGTTGTATGTGGCACCAAGAAGAAGGAAGTCAAGCAGAGATAACCATTTAGTTGGGAGCCCACATTTTGGAAGCAGGCAATAACAGACTGGTCTGGAGGCCAGTCCTCTGTTCTGTGTGAGAAAGGGGTCTGGAAGAAGATTATTCCCAGTACAGATTCTTCTTTATTTTTGCCACCACTACCCAAAATGACTTTTCTAAAAGGTGATATGAGAGGATAAACTCTGACAAACTTTCTCAGTAGCCTCGTTGGAAAGCTATGCTGCCACAAGATGCCAGTTCTAGAAGGATGAATATTTCCAAAGAGCTAAACTTTTGGTAGACCTGTCCCTTCTTTGGCACTTACAGAGCACAGGAACACTCAGCATCAGCTGAGCCTGCACTTGGACAGTGCAGAAGAAGGGCTACATTCAGTGCCAAGAAGTCTTTACTCCTGAGCTCCAGTATCTCTTGTCTTTCAAGCACAGGATTAAGTCCTGCAGACAGAATATTTGCTAGGAACGTGCCTTCCTCCTGAAACAGGAAGCCAGCCACTGCAGGATGGACATAGTTTAGTGGTGCCATTGCAAGGTGGCACCACTATGCAAAAATAAGAGAAGTAAAAGCAGGCTGGGAGAAGAGTGCAAGCATATCTGCAGGCCTTCTGCATGCTTCCGAGGGTGGAAGGGAGAGAAGAAGAGTTCACAAAAACGTAACAAAACCTCAGCAGAAGGCCAGAAGGGATAAAAGGGTAAAAAAAAAAAAAATCTTTAAAAGGTCAGTGACACAATTTATTCTTTTCAAGCTTCCTAATGTGACACTACTCAGTTTAAAAGAACAGAGGGTCCTATAACCACTTCATGTGCTGATTGCCATCAAATGAAAAAGCAAGGAGCAAGTATGCCCCAAAGGTACTGCCAAGGCTAAAAGCATCCAGCTAAAGTGTGTGATATGAAAGCTTCCAGTGTGAATGCATACTAAGACAAGTACTAGACATAGGAAAAATGCAACTAAAGACAGCACAGAGTATTATTTCCCAAAGTTGGAATTATATTCTTTGAAGTGACCATAGAATATTAAGTTACAAATTTTTCATAAACTTGTAGAGAACAAATCCCACCGAGATGCACCCTGTTTTTCAAGATCACCTATGTATACCTATATACATAGATATGTGTGTATATACATATGTACCTATAAGTGTGTATAAGTGTGTATGCGTGTATACACACATATATGCTGCTTATCACCTAAGAATTTTCCTGCTTTCCTAAACAGGTTGGCATCCTTGTGCGTTAGCTGCAACACAAACATACCAAGAGCATCTCCATCACAACCAGTGATTCCTTTTTTCCCCCTCCCTGTAAAAGCAGTGGCCATGCTCTCCAGTAAATAATCAGCTACCAAACAATTCAGACAATTTTCACTACATAACTTGGGTGAAGTTCAAGACTATTTAAAAGAGCTCTCCTTGGTATTGTAAATTGGTAAATGTCACAATCCCACTCAAAACCAAAAACGTCAAATTGAAAAGATTAAAATGAGTAACAAAAATCTGAACCAAAGGCAAAAAGATTCAGTTTGGTGGTCTGAAAATCCATCTTGAATGAATCTTAACAGTTTAAGGTTGGTTCCTTTAGAAATATTTGATTGCTATCAAGAAATGTTGTACAGTTACAAATTAAATTTATAATGGCCACACACAGGGAGGAAAAAAGCATAACTTTTAAAGTAAATTATCCATAGTTACTTAGAGTGAACATACTGTTCTGAATAGTAATGACAGCATATGCACAGTAAATGGGAAGATAAAAGACTGCTGTTAGACTCCTGTATTTCTCCTGCAATGGGACATGACTTATAACATCACTGAATAATAAAACAACTCATGTTGGAAGCCATTTCTGTAAGCCACCTAGTGCAAATACCCTGCTCAGAGCAGGGCTAACTTCAAAGCTAGGATGGTTTACTCACAGCCCTACCCAGCCAAGTAACATCTTGATATGAATGGTCTCTTCAATAATTTGAAAACAGTATTATACTGCACACTCAGCACTGTAATTTCCCATTAAATTACCTAACAAAATTTTTGGAGTTTCTTCAGAATCATCAGCTCCCTCAGTGGACTTCTTAACTTTTACAGCTTCTCTCAAATCTCCTGGAGAACCACAGCTAACATCTGGTGATTTCAGTTTATCATGTGCCTTAAATTAAAAAAACAAACAAAACCAAGCATTACATTTCCTGGCACTGTACTTCAGGCATTAAACTGTCAACCCAAAGAAAGCTCCTAAAAGACCTTCCAGTTACAGTTATGTTGTTTACACTACATACTGCATTGTCAAAGGGAACAAAAGCAAACTACTTGTCTTGGTTTACTAACAGGAAGCTTCTTACTGGCTTATAGTCATAAATCAGCATTTTAAATTTTAGTTCAAAACCTGTTCCCTAATCAACAATCAAAACTTAGAATGTTAGGTAAATTGGTATTTTGTTTCCCAGCTACAAATAGATAATGTAGGGGGGGTTTTGCCACACTTTGCAACTGACATTCAAGGAGGCATCTGTCCACCAGAAAAATACAATACAGTAAGAGAACCAGGAACATATACTGAAGTTACCACAGAAATGGAGAAATAATTAGCTGAATGGAAACAACAGAGTTGGATAATATATGACACTACTGTTTCACTTCTACACTTGTCTAAGAAATCTTGACAATGCAACCCAACTCTGAAAATAGTAAAGCCAGCTGAGACTTGCCCAGAAAATATCTACACTGTTCATCAACCATCTAATTAATGTCAGAACCTGCCAGCATTCATCAAAATATTAAATCATTTGGTATTCAAACATTCTCTGACAAAAACATATTCTTGAACAATAACTATCACCTTTTCTGTCCAGGTGAACTTGACTGGAGCCTCTGTAATCTGGCTTGTTTATCAAGAATATTGATCTTCTTGGCTGGTCTATAAAGATTTGGATAAGCCTGCACCTAAATATGACTTGAATTCTTAAAATGAGCCAAAGCTTGAGTTTCCAGGTTGTTTTATAAGAAATCCAGTAGAAGAGATGACTTGTTCCTGTATTCTATCACCATAATATGGGAAAGAAGAGTTTTAACACCACATTTCTACAGTGACAGACACTGAAAGAGAGGTTTAATTTGGTGGAATATCCCAACTGCATTCAATAGCATAGCTACAGTCTGCACCTATCATGGGTTTGAACTGGGGAGTAGGACTGGAAATAGTGTTGACCCCTGCAGTAGCTACGTTTAGTCTCCAGGTGGTTTTCTTTGTCAGTTCAGACTGAAGGAACACTGCCTTCTCTTTTCAAATTAAGTATGCTCAATTTTCTAATGCCAGAAAAAACAGAAGAGCAATTCCGCTCCCTTTTGAAACAGCCTACAAACCCAGCAATTTTTATGGTTTCCCAGTGGAGGGAAGGCTTAATGGCACATTTCCACTGTAGTTGATTTCTATTTCAATTTGTTTTTCAGTTGCTGAACAACTGGCAATTCAGTCACTCTCTGTTTACATTCAGTTACCTTTCCACATGGTTTACTCTGATGGAGACCAAGTGATGGTCTAACTTGGAGAGGATTTCTGGTGCCTGGTGATTAGGTTCTGGCAGTATCGTGCAGACTTAATACATAACTATACCGTCTATGAAGTGATCCTTAAAATTCCTGAAGGATTATGAATGCTGCCATCTTTAAGAAGCTTATACTTTGAAGTCCCTTTGATCTTGACAATATTAGTAGTTCAGATGTTCTCTGAATCTGAAAGGTTGACATCCATTGCCAGGATTTTAGAATTCAGATACTGAAGAGGGAATATGCTCATCGTATGAGCTCCACCAAATGACTGACGGTTATGGTATTATGTATAGCACTAGTGTCAATGATACCATCAAGAATAATGTAAACAACAGAACAGACCTTTCAAAAAGAAGTGTCACTAAGACCTTCCTGACAGACCTTTTACTTGCTTAAGATAGTACACATTGCCTTAAAGTGACACAGTCAACACCCAGGTCAGGAATATCAGAATATTTCTTATAGAATCACAAAGGTTGGAAAAGACCTC